CTGGAATCTAATATCAGCGAGGCAGAAGAACAGTGGGAGTCTGTTCCCAGTGTGCTCATGCGCAGGGCTGCTAGAAGGCAAGAACAATTAAGAAAACAGGGTCGACTTGGGAGTAAGGCTTGAAGATGATTGGCCCAGCCAATAAGACATAAAAGAGGAGTGAACGGAGGGGAGCCTTTGCAGGAAGCAATTACTTCATCTGGTCGGTTCAAGTTTTGTAAAGTTCTGTTTGACTTGGTGCTAAGTTTGGCCTTGCTCTGCATTTGTCAATTAGGTCTCTGGCAGCATTGCCAGGGAGAAAAGGTGGGTGCATGTCAACATTCCCCTGAAAGAATGTGGCAACTGGAGCAGACATCTGTTGGAATCTTCACAGACTGTGAAGCCTTGGGGACTGTTAATGACCATAATTTACAGTCGCATAAATAAAAGAGGGTTTTTGTGATTAAGATTGTGATTTATGCTTTCTCAGGAAGCCTAGATCCGAACACTAGGTCAGCCAATCAGTTCTGCTGGCTAAGAGGGGACCAAGCCTGGATTTTGCCCCCACCCCCCCACCCTGGCCTTGCTTCCTCATCCGTGAACAGGGCGTAGAGGTGGACCCAAGTTGTAAATGAGTCTCTTCATGAAGATGGTTTGGAGAACCAGTTTGGTCTGGTGGTTGAGGCGGGAAGCGGTGAGTTCAAGTCCTGCCTTAGGCATGAAAGCCAGAGGAAAATAGGATAAGGAAGATGTGTTGGATACATTCGCTGCCTTGAGTTATTTGTAAATGTAATAAAGGTGGAATATAAATAAAAATTCACAAACTAGCAAAATTGTGTGATGGGTATTAGAGAGAATTAGTTGAACTTTTCAATTCATTCCCCCCCCTATTTGTTATGTAAAGTATTGTTGATTTGCCCACTTTAATGGACATTTTGAAATGAATGCAAGTTTCAAATAGGAATTCTGGCCAATACAGTTTGTTCTTAAGAAACAATTCAAAACACATGGTGTTTTCTGTTCTGGGGTATTTTCCTTCCCCCCTCTCACTCTTTCTACTTTTAGAAATAGTGTTTAGCTGCTCATAGATTTATAGCTTCCTTAATTGCAGCAGAAAGATGGTGTAGTATTTATTTTCTTTCTTTTTTTCTCTTCAGGCTGATTTGCTGGTTGATAAAGAGCGACATGTTTTTTTTGAATCTTCCCTGGAATATGTTTATCAAATCCAAGAAGTGCAGGAGAGCAAGAAATTCAGTATTGTGGAGCCTGTAAGTCTGATTCCTCCCCTCGCCTAGATTGACCAACTAGATTTTACAACCTTTTAAAAGTTGTATTTGAACTTTAGAACTGGGTAGTAAATACCTTTTGGGTGGTCTGTCATAATTTTGAACAGTCACTAAGTGGCTGTTCATATGTAGAAGACTACTGTGTACTCTTTAGTGTAAGCCTTTACAATTTTGTTTCAAAAGGTAAAAAAAGTAAATACAAATTTTCATGAAGGTGAAATTGATCCTTAATAGTCATTTGCATTTTCTTTTATTTTTATTTCATTTTGCTATAAGTAGAAATTGAGGGTTTCTTTTGGTTGTAAAGCAGGAAACTGAAATGTGCAGAGTTTCACACAGAAATAAATAGTTCCATTCCATTTAAAAGTGGTGGAAATTGGTTCTGTACTCTCTATAAACTTCATAAACTTAGTCTGCATAAGAAGGTTACCTATACCAGCTAACCCTCAAAATTGCAAAATAGAGCTTAAAAGTTTTTAGACTATATCTACCACTACTCTTATATTCAAACATTGTTGTTCTTGACTTAGAGAAGATATATAATAAATTATGCAGAATTAAAGGGAAAAACCTATTCCACACAATCGTAGATGCACACAGGTTGAGACCTCAGTGGGGATAAGCAGATGAACATTAGTCGCTTATGTTTCTTCTTCTGGTGTGAACTTGGTCAGAAAGGCAACTGTGATGCCCGTCAGCCCTGTTTGGCCTGTGTTGAAATCGGCTCTAATTTGTTGCAGTGTCNTGCCATTTCCAGCATGCAGGTCAGCACATGGTGACGTAAAAGGTTAGCCATCACTGTTCTAAGAGATGCTTGATATGTTATAGAGCTCTTGGCAGCTGAGGATATTTGAGAGCTCCAAATTTTTGGAAGAGGAAGATTTCCTGAAAGCAAACATCACATTACACAAACCCTATTATGCTATATCATGATTTCGGTTACTCCTTTCCATGATTAGCTTTTAATTATGGTTTCTTAAAAAGACCAAACTGGGTGGTCTCACATAACACACTAATCCAGAAGAAAACTTAGTTTGAGGTGAGAAGAGAGTTCTGCAGCGTTTCAAATTAGTTACTGTGTTTTCCCCGAAAATAAGACGGGTTCTTATTTTCTTTTTACCCACAAAATATGGCTTGGGCCTTATTATGAGGGGAGGGTTTATTGTTTTGGGGTTGCCGGGTGGCTGCTCTCTTGCAAGCAGGTTCCCAAAGAGCCGGGCACAGCCTCATGGCCAAATGGAAACACGGTACTTTAAAATTAGTTCTGGAGTACAATGGAAGACCAAATCATGCAGATTTAAAAGGTTTAGTGTTGTTGCCTATTTATTATTTGGCTACATTTTTCTTCATAGGTGCAAAATGCCAGTAATTTGTTGATCAAACCTCTTGAAAAATTCCGTAAGGAGCAAATTGGATTCACCAAAGTAAGTTTCTCTCTGTAATCCCATTTTATTTGTAATATAGCTGTATTAAGAAGAGACTGATGGCATTCTTTTTGCATGATTCTCAATGCTCATTCGAAGTATCTCTAGCCAGTTCCTAAAAAGAAATAAATTGCAGAGTAGGGTCTCAGATGGCTACATTTAGCTATGTAGCTAAATACAGTAGCTATGTTTTTTTTAAATAATTTCAAAAATTAGGATGTTCTGATTTTGCTCTTTCCATATTGTGAGCTACGAAATAGTCTCCTGTGCAAAGTCTACGAATATTGTAAAACAGCCGAAGAAATACAAACATCTTTCAATCGGCCTTCTGGAAAGTCACAAAACTACTGTATTTTTTGGAGTATAAGACACACTGAAATATAAGACGCACCAAGATTTTGAAGAGGCAAATTAAAAAAAAAGTTTTTGCACTCTGCAAACCTCCCAAAAACGGCCTGTTTTTCACAAAAATGGGCCCATTTTTTAAAAAAGAGGCTTGAATAGCCTTTAGGGGGCTTATAGAGTGCTCCTGGGGGGTGCCCCCACAAAAAACAAGCAAAAATTGTTTTCTGTCAAAAATGGCATACATAGCCTTTATGAGGCTTATAGAGTACTCCTGGGGGCTGGGGGGACAAAAATGAGCAAAAATGACCTGTTTTTCACTCATTTCTGCCTTCCCCAGCCCCCAGGAGCACTCTGAAAGCCTTCTATAGGCTCTGCATGGCCATTTTGGTGAAGGGGCTGGGTTTCAGAGGAGTAGACTGCTGATTCTTGGCTACCACAGACCAGCATGGCTCTCTCTGATTCACAACTCTTCTTTTAAGCCAGTACTGAGGTAGACCTCCTTTTATCAGATTAAAGGTAAAGGTTCCCCTCGCACATATGTGTTAGTCATTCCAGATTCTAGGGGGTGGTGCTCAGCTCCGTTTCAAAGCTGAAGAGCCAGCGCTGTCCAAATACGTCTCTGTGGT